AAAACATGGCAACATTTCATTATTTGTGTGTTATTAGTTTAAGCAGACTGTGATTGTCTATTGTTGTGACTTAGATGATGATCAGATCACATTTTATGACCAATTTGTGCAGAAATCCATATCATTCCAAAGGGTTCACATACTTTTTCTTGCAACTATATATATATATATATATATATATATATATATATATATATATATATATATATATATATAGAGGGAATCAGGGTTCCATTCCGTACAGGGACCCTGAGAAATGGCTATTGTCACGATTCTGGAACCTAACACGCTAACAGGTCACAGAGAGGAAGGGTGCTATACTGGTCCTTAGAGTGGCCAGGCTAAGCACACTAAGAATGGTCAGGAGACAAGCCAAGTAAAGGGAGCCAGAAAACGGGAGAACGAGAAACAAGCCGAGGTCAAAGGAGTGGAGAATACAGGATGATCGGAATAACGAGCCAAATAATCGGTAACCAGAGAGCAACACAAGAAAACTGCAATACAGGTATCACAAGACCACAACAGGGCACTGAGAGACAGTAAAGGTAAGTATAAATACCCTTTGTTTAATTCTGATTGGATAACTTCCAATTAGAATTAACAATCACACGTGGGAGATATCTACGCCTCCCACTGTGATTGTGGTACTGTTGCTTTAACGCCGGGTCACTCACGTGACCCCGGCATTTGCATAAATTTGCGACCTCCCAGCGTGCAGCGTTATACATGCTGCCGCTGGGAGTTGTGGAGGACACGAGCGGCGAGCGGCGGAGAGGAGACGCCGCTCGCCGACAGGTAGGAGGAGGGGAGACAGCTTCCCCTCACAGCCGCCCGCGGACCCCTGACAGCTATCACATGCAAGGAAGGCAGCAGGCGTGCGAATGACCCACTCCCGACGCGGGAAGGTAGTGACGACAAATAACAATACAGGACTCTGTAGAGGCCGTGTAATTGTAATGAGTCCACTTGAAATCTTTTAACTCTGATCAACTGGAGGGAAGTCTGGTGCAGAGCCACTGACCCTTGTGTGCTGCAGCTGAAACTTCACTATCGCCTGCTGCTGCTCGCACAGTCTCAGGAGCCGGTGAGCGGGAAGGCCGAAGTTACGCTGCAGCGCTGACAGGCGAGCAGCAGCAGGGTGAGAATATCAAAGGTGCGCACAGCTGCTACAGTCAATGTCACATCCTGTTACAAGTTGCGGATCAGTCTGGTGATGGCTTCTGGTATCCAGTACTCTTTTTAATGAAGCTGCATCAGGGTCCTGATATGTGGCCGCACAAACGCTGGTGCTCAACACCAGGGGACGTGCGGTTACCCTGCACCAGACCCTGCTAATCCATTCCACACTGTGACTCCTAACTTCAACATCAGGCATACTGGGTCTGGGTCCTGGTCACCGGATTGCCCACCTGACTGTGAAACTACGAATGGATCGCTAAATCTGGTACGAACCCGAACTTTGTAGTTCGGGTTCACTCAACTCTATTATGGATCCTTTGATCGCTACATATATTACTTGGATAACTGGTAATTCTCGAGCTAATACAGGGAACGGCCGCTCCGCTTTTGCACCCTGCTCCCTCTTATGCTGTGCTGGTGCCTCTGTGCGACCAGCGCCTCTTCCTCCAAACTGCACACGTCACTCGCATGACCTTGATTCCATGTGGGATCTAGGACCTCATCATCCTCCACATCATCTTCCACCCACTCCTCAACCCTGCCCTTCTTGCCGGTATGCACACTGCAAAAAGCCACAGCAGTTGGCACCTGTGTTTTTCCAGCATGTAAAGTCTGCAAAGGACATATGGAAATTGTTTTAGAATTGTATCCAGGCAACAGTTTTCCCTATAAACTGACCTCTCAGTTGGGCTTGTGAGGGTATTGCCCCAGAATTACAATATTTTTTAAGTACCTCTTAGCTATTGATTACTGGTTTAAATATAGCAGCTTGTTATCTGGTAGTTTCTAGTGGAGAAAATATCAATCTGTTTTCTATCACTTAGATCTGTGTAACTAACAAGTGTTGTAGGTGTGAAACAATATTACAAGTGACCGATGTAGTAAATTCGAATCAAAGTTCCATTTGCAAAAAAAATTCTCGCCCACCTTCTGTGGGTTATTGCATTTTTAAGATGTAGACTTATTGTATCACACTAGCCATGCACAGGTAGCTTGTCTGGCATGTTGTTTTGGTGTTTGGTTTTTAACATTGTAGTTGTGTCTTTACACAATATAGAAATGTATATTAATGCTTCTGTATATGAAGCGATCACAATAACTTTTCACTTTTTAAAAAAAAAATCAGGCTAAACAAAAATTGGTAATTAACAATATGATATCTGAAAAGCACATGAAAGGATGCTGTATGATTTAAAAAAAAAAGAACACAATACATGAAGGTCCTGTTTACTAGAGTGTGTAGTCATGAATGTAACCAGTAAAACTTTGTTTTTACAGCCACTGGTTGGCCCATACATATTTTAAAACTTGTTTAATTTTGTTGTAGCAGATATGAAGAGCAGGCCCCAAAATGTACTATTTAGCAGATTAGCACCCAGAAAATAAGAATGTTTACCACTGCGCTGTAAGCCCACTATTAGACGCTTCTATTTGACTCTCAGATATTAAGTACACCCCACTAAAATGCTATTTAGCAGTTTAGGACCCCAAAAATTTTAAGTTTTAAAACTGCAATTCGACAGCAGTATTTGACGATTCTATTTGACTCTCAGATATGAAGTGTACCCCACTAATGTACTACCCCACTAATGTACTATTTAGCACCCAAAAAAATGTACTTTTTTAAACTTCGATGTAACCTCGGTATTTAAAACTTCTACTTGACTCTCAGATATGAAGTGCACCCCACCCGACTAATGTACTAGTTTGCAGAATTCTTTCCTAGCTGTCCCTATAAGCAGCAGCATCCTCTCCCTACACTAATAAGATCGCATGTGCGTGCGGCGCTATGCGACTCCAGCTTATATATAGAGGCTGGGTCACATGCTGCACTGGCCAATCACAGTCATGCTATTAGTAGGCATAGCTGTGATTGCTTCTAAAGGCACACGAGTCAAACGCTTGTTGATTGGCTGCCCTGCAGCCTTTGAAAACGCGCCAGTAAATCGCCGAACACCAAACTCCAACCCGAACATACAGTGATATGTTCGTGTTCAGGTCCATGGTCCAAAAACCATATTGTTCGGTACAAACCCGAACTTTATAGTTCGGGTTCGCTCAACTCTACACCTGGGCCATCCGTATGCATGATGCTGCTCATCTCAGAGTCTGAGTTGGACATTTGCTGGCTCAAAGATGGCGCTTGGGCATTCTCGGGCAGTGTGTGGAAGAGTGGTGCTACTGATTGGTTTTGCGCTTTTTTGCTTCCTCCCATGGTCCGGATGATGGGGAAGGGTATTGGAGGTATTAGGGGTTTTGGTGTGGAGGTATTAGGTGGCACATGTGCTATTGGTTGCTATTGATTGTGGCGGGCCTTCAGCGGAGCTCTGGGATTATGCTGCCATCCTCGTGTAAAGTCAGGCTCCCCCCCCCCCAATTAACATTTTAAATAGCTAACAAACGTGCTGTTCAAAAAAAGTTATATTACTGTAAAAATATACTGGAAACATTTTAAAATATACTTCATTCACCAATTTTTCAAACACAAACAAGTGTGGTTAAGAAAAGGGGAAAAACCATCCATGACATCATATAAAGTGCAGAAGTATGTAAATAATTGGTACCAACAAAATCCTAGCTACTCAAAAAAAAAATCTATCTATAAATAAAAGAAGGTATATAAGCAAAAAGTGTTAATGTGAAAAGAAAGAATGTACATACAAGAAATTTTATATTTCCTATCTCGTAATAACAAAAGTCCCATATTTGAGTCTTTCAGTTTAAAGCACCACTATCTCTTTTAAATGTTTCATGAAGATAAAATCTTTTTTTTTTTTTTTTTGGTGCACATCTGAACCTAATGATGGTAAGTATGCATTATTATTTACTTTCAATCAACTATTATCTCATGTTAATTATTGTTCGACTGCACTTTATTTATGTACACATACTGTATTTTGTGGTGTGGGTCAAACCGTTGCTCTGCTCACTGTGCACTTTGGGCCCAAACTTATTTTTTGGACTACTTGGTATGTTAGGGTAGTGCTGACCTCTTGTTCAGTTTTGCACCCATCATTTGGCTCTTTAGGTAGAGTGCACTTCCTGCTGTTTCATTAACAAAAGATAACATCTTTGTGAAATACTCATAGTAACTGTGTTGAAATAATACTGACATTTCAATTGAACCAAAATACATAATAAAAAAAGTGGACAAGTTTGAGGTTTACAACATTTGACAAATGATGAAGCTCCCACTATTAAGTTTTGTTAGAGATATCTACACAGGCATCTAATTAGTAGATCTATAGAGTATCCTGTGAAAGACATTTACATTTACACAGATCCTAGTGGATCTAGACCCGGAAACAGGAGTTGGACAACAGAGGAAAGATGGCAGGACATGCCATGGGGATCTTCAAATAACTCAACACACAGCCATTAATGTCTAAACTGTTGGCAACAAAAGTGAGTACATCCCTAACATGATTACAACCCCAAACACACCCCCAAGATGACCACTGCATTGCTAAAGAAGCTGAAGGTAGGGTCGAACAAGGTCTCTAACATCCACCAGCTTCATGATGTTGTCATGGAGGAGTAGAAGAGGACTCCAGTGGCAACCTGTGAAGCTCTGGTGAACTCCATGCCCATGAGGGTTAAGGCAGTGCTGGAAAATAATGGTGTCCACACAAAATATTGACACTTTGGGCCCAATTTTTACATTTCCACTTGGGGATGTACTTACTTTTGTTGCCAACAGTTTAGACACTAATGGCTGTGTGTTGAGTTATTCTGAGGGGACAGCAAATTTACACTGTTATACAGGCTGTACACGTACTACTTTACATTGTAGCAGAGTGTCATTTCTTCAGTGTTGTCACATGAAAAGATCAGCCAATCAGCAGCAGACCCTCCCTCCCAGACCCTCCCACCTCCTGGACAGCTCACTAAGAATGCAGCTTCACAATGAATGTAAAATGGATGCTGTCCAGGAGGTGGGAGGGTCTGGGAGGGAGGGTCTGCTGCTGATTGGCTGGAATGTGCCTGCTGACTGTGAGGTACAGGGTCAAAGTTTACTCAATAATGAGTTCGTGGTGAACCGTTCGGCGAACCATTCGGCGAACCGTTCAGCGAACCATTCAGGACATCACTATCTGTGAATAAAATAAACTTTCTGTGACTGTCCTCTAGTCATTAATCATTGCTTTTCTTGTGCCCATGGATGTAATTCCATAATACAAATGAAACCAAATGTGTTTGTCCATTACACAAGTTCAGTCATATGGTGGTTCAGAGTTCAGGAATTCAGCCAATCACCTGGTCAGCCAAAATTCAGATGAATTGCAATTGAATTGCAACCAAATCGCTTAGTCAAATAATTATTATATTTTTACAAATTACCCAGAAATTATATTGTTATAACATAGCCACATTTATTTTGATAAAAAAAGCATGGATTTATTAGCAGTGAATTGAGTTAAAATCTAAGAGATGGTTTAGGAAGAAATACTCTATGCAAATCTTATTGTGATGTGCACATGTAGAACGTCAGTTTACTGCTAACATTTAACAGGTGTGGTCCTCATGATCCTTTGTATTTAGACCTATTTAAAGCATAATTAATGTATTGGATGTGCTGTATTTTAACCATTCTTTGTTAGAAATGTCAACATCAATAATTACTTTTTTAGTTTTCAAAATCGGTCTAGATGAAAATGCTTGTTCTTGGGTAGAACATTGGCTTAAAAACAGAGTACAAAGCGTTGTCATTAATGTTAAATTTTCAAGCTGGACATAGGTGGCAAGTGGTGTCCCTCAGGGGTCTGTTCTGGGACCCCTTCTATTTAATATGTTTATAAATGATCTTGAAGACAGCATTGAAAGTCATGTTTCATTGTTTGCAAATGACACAAAACTTTGTAAAATAATACAATGTGAGCAAGATATTACTTTGCTGTAGAGGGATTTAGATAGACTGGGGGACTGGGCACTCAAATGGCAGATGAAATTTAATGTTGGAATATGCAAAGTTATGCACTTCGGCATAAAGAATACACAAGCAACATTTATCCTTAATGGAAGCGAGTTAGGGATAACAACACATGAAAAGGACTTGGGAATTGTTATAGACAACAAACTATGCAACAATGTGAAATGTCAATCAGCAGTGGCCAAGGCCAGTAAGGTATTGTCATGCATGCAAAAGGGCATTCATTCTCGGGATGAGAATATCATTTTGCCTCTTTATAAATCACTGGTAAGATCACGTATTGAATATGCTGTGCAATTTTGGGCACCTGTTCTAAAGCAGGATATTATGGCACTAGAAAAAGTGCAGTGGTGGCTACAAAATTAATAAAAGGAATGGAACATATCAGCTATGAAGAAAGGTTAACAAATTTAAACCAATTTAGTTTAGAAAAACGTTGCCTCAGAGGGGATATGATAACATTATACAAATATATTTGGGGCCAGTACAAACCATTGTGTGGAAATCTATTCACAAACAGGACTTTACATAGGACATGAGGCCATGCGTTTAGACTGGAAGAAAGAAGATTTCGTCAAAGGCAAAGGAAAGGTTTTTTTACTGTAAGAACAATCAAGATATGGAATTCTTTGCCTGAAGAAGTGGTTTTATCAGAGTCCATACAGATGTTCAAACAGCTACTAGATGCATACTTGCAAAAATAGAATATTCAAGGATATAATCTTTCAATGTAGGGTAATAACTGCTTGATCCAAGGATAAATCTGACTGCCATTCTGGGCTCAAGAAGGAATTTTTTTCCTAGCTTGTTGCAAAATTGGTCTTCAAACTGGGTTTTTTTGCCTTCTTTTGGATCAACAGCAAAAACCAAATGTGAGGAAGACTGAACTTGATGGACGCAAGTCTCTTTTTAGCTATGTAACTATGTAACATTGATTACGATTTTTGCCACTCATGAAGATTACTTCAGTTGCAAAGTAACTATAGAACATGTTTTCTTTAAATGAAACTTGTTTTGTTGATGTGTCAGTTTTGACACTACCAAAATATATCTACCGTATTTTCTGGCGTATAAGACGACTTTTTAACCCAGGAAAATCTTCTCAAAAGATGGGGGTCGTCTTATATGCCGGGTGTCGTCTTATAGGGCGGGCTTCCTATAAGGCGAACTAAGCAGCCCCCTAGGGTGCCATATAGGAGTGGGTGCCCTGCGCCCCCATCGCCGGCCCTTCTAATGCTGCTATAGAGAGCCTCAGGTGGCTGCAGCACTGCCTCTCTCCTCACCTCCCCTTCCCTGTGTAGCGTGGGTGGCAGAGCTCCTCTTCCTCCTGTCAGCACTCCTGTCAGTCCGACCGTGAAAAGGAAACAGAATCTCCTGTTACCGCGCTGTACCCGGCCAGACTGACAGGAGGAAAAGGAGCTCGGCTACCCACGCTACACAGGGAAGGGGTGGTGAGAAGAACATAGGGAGGGATGGGGGGGGGAGTAAAAAGAACATAGGGAGGGGGTGGGAGTAAAAAGAACATAGGGAGGGGGAGTAAGAAGGACACAGGGAGGGGGGGAGTAGTAAGAAGAACATTCTGGAAAGTGTATGCTCCATGCCACACATCATGAGTGCACTTTCAACAATGCCAACAAGCTGGTATAGTGCTTGCCCCATGCCACCCCAGTCTAAGTACAGTTTGCCCCATTTTGCCCAGCCTTGGTAGTGTTTGCCCCATGCGCCCCATAAATTTCCCAAATCCAGGTAGCCGAGTCCAGCCAGGTTTAATATAGTCACATCAGAATAAAGGGTTAAGGATTGGCAGTATAAGCATATATCGCAATTAGCCTCCTGTGTGCTAGACCAGCAGGCATGGATTATATGTCCAAACAGCCTGGCACATACCTGGGCTTTAAATGCTATTTCAGATTACAATTCTTTAATGTCTTGCTGTGTGACTCTGTCTGCTCACTGTACATCATGGCTAATTTTTATTTGGTGTGCATTGGAAGAGGGGTAGTCTTATACAGCGATTATATCCCAAACTCTATATTTTAACTGGAAAAATTGGGGGTCGTCTTATACACCAAGTCGTCTTATATGCTGGAAAATACGGTAGTTATTAGCATCTATATAAACACTATCATTTTTTTGTCTCACTCTTCTCATTATGTTTGATTGTTACAAATCATTTCTATCTGAGCTAAATTTCCTCCATGTTATGCATTTATTACATTGTCACAGCTAATCCGATCAAAACTGCTTTGTGATTTATTTTTTAAATTACCTTTGCACCCTAGAGAATGTAAGGCATCCTCATTGTATTAGCTTGGTTCCAATGTGTTTTGTGACTGAGATCCATAATACATTTTTGCACAGATGTTTCATTAATTTCCTAGATGCAGTTAACATAAACCGTCATCTATTCAACAGTATTAAAAGTAGTGTAAACTAAAAATATAGAATATAATGAAGATAGGTGTTGATGCTTCACCTCAGTATACCTTCTATGTAACTTTTTTCCCAAAATTTATTCATACTTTAATTTACCAAGATTTCTGAAAATCTCTTACAACGGATGCAGCTGGTGATCCTTTACTATACAATTTTCTTATCCAACACAATGCTTAGCACTTTATGATTGAAACATAAGTGAAAGAAGGGTTTTATGCAGAAAAGCAGCTAATGATTGGCCTGATGACATCACTAGAAGGATTCCTCCACCCGAGACACAGCGCATGGAAACTCCTTCACATAACATTTCATATCATTGCAACATTAGAGGGAGACACACATTTTCTCTCTTTTTAAACAGATAAAGACAATATTCCTAATATATCTCAGAAACGTCATAAGGAGCACTGCCTTGGTACTTTAATGCACAGCACTCCCTCAATGTTGAACATAAGAAAACACATTCAAAAACATGCACTAGGAAAACAGAAAGCGTTCCAAGTCTAGGATCCCGACCTTGCAACATCATTGTAACATTATGAGAGATTGATTCCTATGCGTTACAATGTTATATATGCTTATCTCTAATATAGAATTGAGCACTAAACTGCAAATAACTGGTGATAACCAGCATGAGGGGGTGGGGTAGGGGGCAGCAGCGAGTTAGTCTCAGCTTTGGGGAAAAAATAAGTAAAACTATTTTTTTTCAGGTTTTTAACTGCACTTTAACTATTTAAACAGCTCAAAACCTAAATTTATTACTTACACGTTAATCAAACTGATATGTCAGCTTGTGTTGTAGTGATTATTATTATTACTATTTATAAAGTGACATCAAATTTCACAGCACTATTAAATGGACTAACAGACAAGTATTTGTAACCAGACAAGTTGGATGCACAGGCATAGCGGGTGTTGCGTGCCCTGCTCAAATTGACTTACATGTTTGTTTATGCTACTGTATTTAAAGGACCACTACATTTACCCAGACCACTTCATCTCAATGCAGTTAGCCCTATCAATTTAGCCTTGCAGTGTAAAACATTGTTTTGTAGAAACTGCAGTGTTTACACTGCAGGGTTAAATACACTTCTAGAGGTGTATCCTACGTAGCAACAGAGTGCAACTTGCTCATGTGACATTTGATGCCCATGAGGATTTAAAGATAGTGCGCTTCTCACTGTGCATGCACATCTCATCCCCAGTTCCTCTCTCTGAGGAGCGTTCGATTGTACCAGATACGCAATGCCTCCAAGATGATGTAGCAGGATAAGGAGCAGACGGCTTGAAAAAAAAGGTAAGTAGAATACTTCTCTTCAGGTTTTGACTGCAAATAGGTAGAGAGTGCTCAAACATATCTGGTGCTAGGACACTATAATGTTAAAAATACAGGTTTGTATTCTAAACACTATCGTGTTCCTTTAAATGTTTAGCAATTTCATCAACACTCCAGTAGCATAAAGAAACATAAGGCACTCTTCAATCAATTAAATGCAGATATTTTAAATGTTCTTTAAAAATCAACAAAATAATTATGTTATTTTGACCTGTTGTCAACTTCAAAACACATTACACTTATGCCTTTTGTCATTGCTAATAAATTATTGACGAGAATCAC